GTCACGGCTGTCCCGGGGGATGTTTTTGGATTCCCCGGTGATGACGATAGTTAAGGCCATTGAACTGCGCACCTCGGCGGGGTCCGAGGCCCGTCAAACTCGGCGTCACCCCCGGCGGAAAGGCAGCTGTGCTAATTTCGGCTCCATTCACAGCCCGGCGGGGAATCAGTATTTGCCAGATAGCAACGGGCGGGGGGTAGGGGGGGGCCGGTGCTGTTGTGAGGAGTCTGGCGGCAGGGAGCAGAGCCATGGGGCAGCGTCGCGGCAGGGCCGCAGTCCGGAGGCGGGGGCTGCTGAGGTAACTTGGGGCGCGGGCAGGAGCGGCGGCAGCGCGCGGGCGGGCAGCGCGAGGTGCGCTCCTCTCCTCACACACGCCACCCGGGACGTGCGGGTGGCCAAAACTCGCCTCCCTCCAGGGACGCCCGCAGTATCTCGCCACCGAGTTACTGCCGGTGTCTCATGTGCGTCCTCCTCCTGTCGTGTCTACGGCAGCAGCCTGAGAGATGGAAATGACCCCAACGGGGCTTTCCCATTCCCCTTCCTCCCCCTGCCCAGTGGGCAGCTCTTCCAGCTTCATTCAAGATGAATGCTGCGTGACTTGCAAATACCTCCCGTCAGGTTTTTGAAATACTGGCCACATTCTGGGGGGGGGGTGAATGGGCAGACAGTGACCGCCAACAGTGGCCATTTCTGCTCCTCTGAAGCCCCCTTGCTCACACAGAATGGAGGTCCTGTTGGCTCTTCGAAACGAGTAGTCGGGAAGAATGATGGAGGCTGAAAGGGGGATTTAGTGTACTCGCTGGGATTCAATAAGAATAATAAACCGTGCTCCTGGAGAGGAGGAGGAGGAGAATCCTACCACGTTCTCCAAACATTCAGTAACCAAGCCTCTGCATCGTGTACGTGAATGTCCTCGTATTTGTCCGACGGTTAATGCTGCCATTCAGAGCTGAACCAGGCATGAAACTTCTCCGGCCAGCTGTCTTCCTTCTCTGCAGCATGCTCCCACCCTTTCCACGTTATACGCTAATGAGCTGCAAAACTCCATTAGGGACAAAACAAGCCCAGCATTTATTTCTAGCTGTCACAGGTGGCAAGGGTTAATAAAAGACATCCGTATTTCTTGGATAGCTACAGATAAAATTTGGACCATGCTATTTAGGCCACTTTCTTTCTCCCAGAAGTGCTGTCCCACATTCAAACTAATTAATAGCAAGATCTATGCTGTGTAACGACTGCAGGAGTGGGATCAAGTTTAGAAATTGCACAACCTTAAATATGTCGACTGCTGATGTCCTCGTTTACTGAGGCTCACTGAGTTCTGTCAAGAACTCTCTTCTCAGAGGACCGTAGTTCAGAAATTATATGATAGCTTTTTCCATCTTCTGCTGAAAAAAAAGTTTGATTCCTTGCATATCGTATTTACAGTTTAAAGCTACAGATTTTCCTCTTTGGATGTACATCAGTAATTAAAATTACTAATTCCTTTCTAGCACAAAACCTAATTTATATTCAGCCCTAAATGATAGTATTGTTTTCCTATTCATCCTAAAACAATTGAACGATGGATCTTTAGACAGGAACAAGTAGTATACATGCTCTTTCTCATGGAAAATGACTGTGAATTTCTAGTCTCAGGAAGCCTCCATGGCTTTCTGCTTGTGATCTTCAGACCTGGGGACACATCACACAATCCAGGAAAGGTAATAAGATGCTTAAGTCCATCATCAGTTGGCTGAAATTCTACCTATGGGGGTCTGCATTTGAAATATTTAGGAAATACTTGCTTCTCAAACTGAAAAACACTGAAAAGTCACTGTTACAAGTTGCTGTGTGCCACAAGCCAGAAGATTCTTCTAGGAGAAAGATCAGTGTATACAGGACAAAGTTTGTACATGTAGGTAATAGCTTTTTTCAGACCAGCTGGTATAGAAGGAGAAGTAGACAAATTTCTGGGTTAACACGCTATTTTTTTGGTTCTGAAGCAGTAACTACCAAAGCTCAAAGCAACTTGGGAATGAGTGCTTAGGGCTTAGATAGGGATGTATCAGCGAGACCAGCTCAGAAGGAAAAAGTGGAAACAGGAATAGAGGGGGTGTTGTGGGAGGAAGAATGAGGGCTGAGAGCTGGTAAGTTCGGGAAGGTTCCTAGGACTTGCTGGTTTTAACTGTTTAATGATTTTTCACATAACAGAAGAAAATCCTGTGTGGAAAGAATCTTCCCAGAAGCACTTGTCCTACATTTCAAGCACCCCAAACCACAAAACTCATCATTAGAAGCATAACTCTCTGTGGTCTAAAACACCAGATCAGTTTAAACCATGCCTGAGCAAGAAATGTAGGATGTGTTGATGCCCATCCACTACTATAGCAATGAACACCCCCTGCCATTAAACCACTAGCATCCCCCAGTCTAACGTTTGCAGTTCCAGGACTGTAACGTACTTCATCCTGTGCACGGCTGCTTTCCTGGTAGTTTTGCTGCTGAAAATGACCACTCAGCAGCAGCATGAGCTCCAAGAGACTGTCTCCATAGACCAAAACACTGTGCTGTTGGTGAGGGGAGTTTCTCACAAAACAGGACACTCTCCCTCTCCTCTTTCAGACCTGATCCTTAAGGGAAACTACATAACTCGTCCCACAGAAGTGAGCACAGGAACTGGGTTTCCTAACTCTGCCCAACACCCAAAAAATGAGGACTCAGCAGAGATGCTGCTCTGATAATACATTGTAATTTCCTTCTGCTTCCACCCCCCCTGCTTACTTCTCTCCAGATCAACAGACTGCAAGGTAACTGTCTCTCCTTTTTGCTCAGCTAATAAGTGCCACTCTTTCTCCCATCCTTAACATCATTAACATCATTAATGTCCTCTCTATTCTAAAGCTACTATCTTCTTCCTTTCAGAGCTGGCTTAATTAATAAGTATCTTAGTAAATGTTAAGCAATTGTTCTTAACTGAAAGCTGCAGCTGGTGTTTCTAACCCAAAGAAAAGTTCGTATAACCGAAAGTTTGTGTCATTTTTCCAGCTATATGTCTTGGTCTAATAAAAGATACTACTTCTTCATGCAACCCCAGTACTGCACATCACATCCACAGGAGACTATCGCTGTGTGTCTGCCTTGTTCTTTTAATGAGTCCTTAGGTGTGACGGGTGACTGTTGGAGAGAGAAGACTGGACTGGATGCCACCTTTGCTTAGGTCGCTACAACAGTAACCGTGTTCTTACAAAGACAAATAGTATCTTCCTTAAAGCACGGGCACTCTTCCCCCTTGCCATGGAAATACAATCTTCCGTTCTAAAAGAACCCAAAATTTGGGCATTAAGATCATACCTTAAAAGGAATTTCAGCTTTTATTTCAAAACAATATGCTCATGTACTTGCTGCAGTAGCCACAAGGGGAATTAGGACTCTGGCAGGTGAGATGAGTACCAAGTTTTGTCCTCTTACATTGTTTATAACCCAGTAGTATCCTCACTTTGCTGCTGTCCTCAGGGTGCTGGTTTGTACTGGTTTTACTTGTTATGGGGGATGTGGGACACAAGTCTTTGGCCAAAAAAAAATTAATGAAGCTATCTAAATCTTTAATTTTGGAAAGAAACAAAGTTAAAAGTAGTTGCAGTATTTTCTTGGTTTCCTCTGAGTGACTGGCAGAAACAGGATAGAGTGAGTGCTTCCTTTCCACAGCATTTAAGGAAGACTTGTTTCTCTAGAAGAAATTATTCACCTTTATCTCACAGGCCTATGTTACATACAGAGAATGCGAATATAAGCACAAACTATATTTGTAGTAAGACTAGTGACCACCCAAATGAATAAAATGTAAACACAGTTGGTAACATAAATGTATGTTTGTCCACAAAATTACAGCAAAAGTTATGCTCAGATAATTAGCTTTTTAGTTTATTCAAGACTTCATTATTTAAATGTCAAATAAGGGGTTAAAAGTAAGATCATAATACAGTGGGACCAGTTAAGAGTTGATTTTTGTCTCATGTTGAGCATGAATCATGGCTGATAAGAACAGTTAATATTTTGGGGGGCAGGGCCGTTAGTTCTGGATGGAAAGAAAGGATTTTTGATAGCTCGGTAGAGAGAATTATGTAATCTGTGATGGGCAGCAATGTGTATACTAAATTCATGAAGTCTCTTGGAGTGACCTAGGGGTTTTCACATGAGAAAGTACAGGCCCACAGCTCAGGTGGGTCTCATTTCGGTTCTCGGTGCTGGCAGTAAACATCACATCAAGTCCTCACAATACACAGGCTAGGATGTTTGCTGAAGAATCAGTACGAAGACTGTAAATGCAGTGAAATGAAGGAGAGGTGATCACTGTGTCATACATCTCAAATTGTAAGATGAAATAAGGTACCCCCTTACGTTGCCATATTAAAGCTACCATATATTTCTGGTGATACAATCCTTAATCCAGGTAATACACACCCTTAAACTAAGTTGCTTGACCTTAGAAATCGACACACAGGACAACAGACCGAAATTCTGGAGAGAAAGTACCTGGACAAGACTCCCAAGCAGCTTTTACAGTTGCACGGTAAGATATTTTTCACTTTACAACATGCCAATGACGTAGCCATCTGCCCCAGGGCCACGGGCCATAGCATCTCATGGATTTAGTCTTGCCAGAAGAACAAAATCCTTAAAATTTAAAAGCCTACCTTGAACATTGACTATTTCTTGGAACATCTAGAAGACTCTTGGAAGTATGCCTGTGCTGACAAAAATAACAAACACATGCAGTGATTGGCAAAGAAAATCAGTAGGAGCTGAACATGAACCCTAGGCGATGGTGCAGTCAGCAGCCAGAATACTTACTGCAGTGAAGGGTCTCAAGGCTGTACAGCCAAGTGCTCAGAAAGTCATCTCGGCACAGAGGCAGT